AGTGAACTGAACACAGGAGAAGCTTGGCATCACTGCCGCCATTGTGCATCTGTCTTTGCTCTCAGCCTTTCTCTTCGCAGTCACTTTGCAATCAGCCTAGATTCCAGAAAGGACAGGACTGATGACATCTTTATGACAAGGGACTGAAACTTCCCATAAGGAACAGTGGAGACTTGCAGGACAGACGCCTCCAGATGAGGACAATGACCTGCAATGATGAGGCTGCACCCTGGAGCAGGAGCGGTCACCTCATGGGAACTGATGGCTCCCCTCAAGAGAAGACAGCGATGACATCTTCTCCAGAACCCCTGGGAACCCTTGGGTTGAAACAATGGTCAACCAGACAGTACCTGTGACTGGGACTGTGTCACTGTCACACCTTTGTCCCCTGCCCCCAGTCCTTTCTCTACTTGAACCTACAGCTCATGTCTGCACCCCAAAGATGGCAGAGGATGGGCTGAGGCTCCCTGTGCCTCTTCCCACCGTGTGTCCCCAGCCGTGTATAAACCTCCTTTTCCTGTCACCAAGCCTCTTTATTTGGCAAGCAGGGGCGGGTGGCCACACCTGGCATATGGAGTCCCAGGAGTTTGGGCCTTGGATCCAAAACTCTGGTTCAAGACCACTGACTGGGGACAACACATGGACATTGTCCGTGCTAAGTGGCAGTCACTTGGAAAGGTGCCAGCTAAGTGCAGTTAATGAGCAAAGGGCCAGGACCAGACATGGCCAAACTCACATCACTTCCAGCCGGACTGTTCTGGAATCGTTTCCTCCCTCAGACAGGACCTCGCAGGTGTAGTCTCCGATGTCACCTGACCACGTCTGGCTAATCAGGAGGGACCCATCCTTCTCCAGCACAATTCTAGAGTTGCCAGCGGGGGTGATGACCACGCCGTCCTTCTTCCAGATATAGCTGTAGGCCGAGCAGAGTCTTCAGTTACAAAAGTGACAGGAAAGGCTCACGGGGTCCTTCCCTGTCTCTTCCAAGCAAGTCACGAGTGACCTAGGGAATCTATTCAAAGTCACTGAAATGGTGAGTTTTATGGCATGTGGTTTTATGAAAGAGAAAAGGAACCATGTATCTTTGTCAATATGCAAAATGAACGCTGATGTTGTTGAAACAGGACAATGACAAAGGGACACAGGAAATCTGTGTGACCTTGTGTCTTGGAGACCGGGCTCTGTGGGACCAGGGTACTGCCTGCAGTGCAGGTAACAACAGGTAAAAATCCCCACAGTGGCCCGTGCTGGTGGCCCACACCTGCGATCCTAGCTATTTGTGAGGCTGACAGTGGGAAGGATTGGAATTCCAGGCCAGCCTGGGTAAAAAGTGAGCCCTACTTCCAAAATAACCAGAGCAAAAGGACTGGGAGGAATGGCTGAAGTGTCAGAGTGCCTGCCCAGCAAGTGTGAGGCCCTGAGTTCAAACCTCAGTACTGTAAAAAAGGAAAAAAAGGAAAAAACTGTATCACATCTCATAAACATTCTGTTAAAATCCCTACATTCTGGAAGATGGTCCTTAAAGCTTCATTTCTTCCTCATTTAATCTTTGTCTCTGATCATTTTAGCCCATTTTTCTTTTCCAGCATAGAACCAATTAAGAGCCAGTCCAGTCTTTAGCTAAAAGTGCTGTTTTTTTTCTAGAATAATTTGATCAGATTTTCAAAATGTACTCAACTCTTTAAAGCCTTCCCATCCACACAGCACAAACATTTCCAAGGTCTTCGTCTGAAATTACCCACAGGCAGGGCAAGGGTAGATTGTCTTTTATAGCCTGGGGTTCCTGGGGGAGAACTCGAGATAAGGGGGGAGGCCACCCAGCTCTTCTTAATCACTTAATCACTCATGAAAAGCTAGGAGGAAGCCACCCAGGTCCCAGGGGACTCTTCCCAAGTTCTCAGAGTGGCAGAAAAGCAGGCTTATTTGTTCTTCGTTCTTTGAAATCCTACTCCATGTCATTAAAACGAATGAATTCCTGTCCAGGCATGACATGAATCCCTGGGTCAGCCCCCAGGATTTGCCAGGTAATCTTAACCTGCTAGATCCTGTTGGTTCATTTTGTTTGCCGTTCAGCGTTCCTGTAACTAACCAAACTTGTTTTTGGCCTTGGAGACCTCCAGAGGGCCAGGTGATGTGGAAATTTATGACTGGCCAAACACCTGCTCAGGTGAGTGAGACAAGGGTTTATAGTCTCTGCACTCCTGACAACACAGGAGTCAACAGCTACCTCTGCTCAGAATGCCACCCCTGGGAGCCCTTGGCCAACCGCAGGCCTCCGGAGCTAAGGCCGGAGTGGCAGTACTTTGGATCTCTCTCGATTTATTTCCAAGACTGGGAGAATTAAAAACTCTTCTGCATGTGCTGCCTTTCGGGACAAAGCTCATCACGGAGGGCCACCTGTCTGCAGCCAGGCACTCCCCTGGAGTGTCATATTTTTTCTCTGTTACCTTCCAGCCTGAATTCAACCGTGACAGGTGTCAGAATCACTTTACTGAATCTTCAAGTCACCGTGTGCCCTTCTTTACATGTCTTTCCCTCTCTGTGCACGGATCCTCTCTCTGCAGAGCTCCCTCCATCCCCAGGGCACAGCAAAGCCATCCTCAGAGCAGAGAAAACCCCTCCGGAGCGCTGCAGAGCCCCAGTATAAACACTGCTCCAATCCAATTCGATCCCTCTGGATTTTTGTCTCATTAAGTATCAGCCTCTGACAGCACGCTTTACAGACAGTATATTAACGTTGGCAGAAAAATCATGAAAAGCTGTATTGAAGTCATGAAGTGGAACCTAGCTCACTGTAAATAATACATAAGGCTGGAGTGCAAAAATGGATTCGTGTGATTGATGATGGGATCCGCGATGGTAAAATGCCATAATCAGGGATCTGCGGCAGAAATCAAAATCCAACCCCTTCCAATTCTTCCTTCTCATCCCAATTTCCCTTCATGAGTTCACAGAATATTAGTAAGTTCCAAAGTATCAGAAGTGTCGGAAACTGACCGGAGAGAAATCCGGGGGTCGTGAGTGGCTCCGCAGCGCAGTGTGGCTGTGGTCCCCTTAATCACCACTCGGTCCTCAGGAGGGTGAACGATGGATGTTCGATCTGAAAGGGGACAAGTCACAGCTCAGATGGAATCACAAGCTGGCGAGTCTTTGCCCTCAGGGGATAATGAATTGGTCATCTGACATCAGAGCCTCTGAATTTTCTCTCCTTGGCAAAATAGTGTAAATGGAAGCACTCAGAACCCGTCAGGGAACTGAAAAGCAGCCTTTCCTTGTGGCAAAGGCAGTTAATCGACCTCCACCCCACGCTGTCTTGGCATGTCCACCCCCTCCCGAGGAAAGCAAGAGGGGAAGGCCATGAGCAAATGCTCCATGGGTTCTATACTTTGCTAAAACCTAGATTTTTCTCCCCCAAAGAATCCCAGTTTTAGCCATGTCTAATGTTCCCAGAGCACCTGGTCTTTGCAAAGTGCTTTTGTAACAGGTACTTAAACTACTCTTGCTGAGTAGCACTGACTCCTTATGGGGGCCCGTGAGTTAACTAAAAATAGAAGTGTGTAGCATCCCTGATGCCATTTTGAATCTGTCTGCCCTAAACCACTGTGTGTGCAGTCTCCATGTAGTCACTGTGGAACCCGGGAAAGATGGGACTGATGGATAATATCTTTATGACAAGGGACCGAAACTTCCCCTAAGGGACAGCAGAGAGCCACAGGACAGACCACCCTCCAGGCAACAATGGCTTGTTTATTCCAGCCAGTGATAAGAGAGCTAACAACTTCTCTGGAACCTTCTCCCAAACAAGGACTAATGCCTCATGAGGCACACCTGTGACAGGGACCACTTAATAACTGTGCACACCTCTTTCCTCCTGTCCCTGGTTCTTCCTCTGCTCAAGCCTACAGCTCAAGCCTGGACCCCAAAGATGGCTGGAGATGGGCTAATGCTTACTCTGTCTGTTCCCATGGCTGCCCAAGTCACATCATGACCCTCCTCTCCTTGTCCTTCGCCATGTCTCCTTATTTGACATATGGGATGAGTGGCCAGACCTGGCCTGGAGTCCCAGGAGACCCCAGGGCCTGGGGTCTAGAACCCCTGCTTCTCCTTTGTTAACTTATGTAATTCTCACAGCAGTCTTTCGAAGGCTGTGATATTATCACTGAACAAAGGACACGGACATCGGAAGGGCTGTGACTTGTACAACACCATGCAGCTGTAAGGGACAGGGCACATCACCCTGTGCCCATGCCTGTGGCCCCCAGGGTCCACATGGCAGGGGGACATGTGTCCCTGCACACACACCTCTGGGGGGGATGCTGCTTGGGAGCCATGCATAGAGTCCAGAACTCGGGAGTGACAGGGCCCAGCGTGACAGTTGGCTCACAGGGTACCAAGAACAATGTCCTTGTCAGTGGCCGGACCTGCCACTGTGATGCTCATGGGCCAAGTAGCCTGAAAACCCTCTGTGGGCCGTCGAGGAGTCTGCCCATTGTCTGGTGTGGTTATGATTTTGAATCTCCGTGGAGCCGCCAAATTGTGCGCGGTGACGAGGGAGTGCGGCCTCACTTTGCACACACTTCACACGCACACCTTTCTCTCTGCACCGCGCCCAGGGGTCGATCCACCACGTGAGCAAAACCTCCTCCTGATCCCCCGCCAACACTGAGGGAACCTGGACTGGTGTCTCAAACTCTCGATGTGTTTACGACACTCAAAAAGTTAGAAAAGGGCCACTTATCGAAGGGGACACCAGCTACGTGACAGAAATTAGAAAAGAAATCAGAAAATGCTGAACAAACGAGAAATGGTGCTCAACGACTTTTCTTTAGGGACACGTTTTTCTCTTCACGTGTGGCCTCCTCGAAACCCGTTTGTGAACACCGCCTTTCACTGTCTTTGGGACAATGAGCTTTTGTCACATGGGCTGGGTATGGGAGAGGACAGATTATTTTGTGGCTGAGGCATGGCGGTGTGGCCTGGTGTTATGATTCTTATGTTCTAGAAAACAATCTAATTTGCATCTCAGCGACAGAACCTAAATACACTTTCTTCAGGATTTTAACTCTTGATTCAGTTTTCGTATACAATTCTTATGCAATTAAGTGACACATCGATTTTGTTATTTGAGTCCGTCAGGTGTAATATCTCGACTGACTTTCAAAAAGCCAATCTTTCCTCTCTCTCAAAAACACTCCCATTAAATCTTTGAAAATATCCACTAATTATTCTTTTAACTGAAAAATTAATTACTCGGCAGAGTTCTATCAATTGGCTGTAATAATAATCACTCTGCTTTGATTAAGTGAGGGCGTCCAAGGGCACAGTGACATGCCCTGGGCGCAGGGGCTGAGAAAGTGTGGCTAGCAGGAGGTTCCCAGAGATGGCAGTGGCCCTTACTCCACACGGTGAGTGCCGCTGACGCCTCCAGGGAGCCCTCCGAGTTGGCTGCATAGCAGGTGTAGCTGCCGGCGTCCTGGATGAAGACGGGGGTTATCTGCAGGCCCCCCGACTCCAGCAGCATGAACCGGGGAATCCGGACAGAGCCACTGGCCAGGATGTGATTTCCTGAAGACCAGAAGAGAGACAGGAATATGACGGGCGGGGAGGGGAGAGAGAGAGAGAGAGAGAGAGAGAGAGAGAGAGAGAGAGAGAGAGAGAGAGAGAGAGAGAGAGAAGGAAGACATGGTTAGGGTGGTGGCTAATAACATAACTTATGGGAATAATCAGAGTCAAGAGAAAATGTCGTGTTCAAAAACAATCCCAGAGGTTGTCCAGCATTTGGGAGTGGCTTAAGCAACCTCTGGTCTGGGCATGGGACTGTTAGCTTTGGGCGACTGCTTTTTAGGGGCTTCTGTTGTGCTCATGTGCATTTGAAGATGTTGTACACAAAGCCACTTTTACGTTCATGATCAGGAAAGAGAAAAAAGCTATGAAATAAAGCAGCCCCTCTCTCTGCTGTGCAGCCCTCGTCTGAGCACTTGACTTAACGCCTGGGTGTGGAGAAGCCACCAAGCCACGCTCCGTGGACTGAGTGTGACTTGTGAAGTCCCCAGGTCAACCCACCAAGTACGAGTCACCAAGCTACGAGAATCCGCACACTTTTGCCCAGGCTTGTGAGGACAGGCTCTGCACTGGTCACTTGGTGACAGGTGTGTCTAACTTGCAGAAGGGACTCTAGGACTACAATGACAGCCTGTGACACATCGTTCTTCACAGACACTGAAAACACAAGCTCACAGGTCAAACTTGGGAGATGCTTACTGAAATATCTTTGAAAAACAGGACAGAGTTTTTTTTTTGTGGTAGTTGGATTTGAACTCAGGGCCTCACGCTTGCTAGGTAGGGGCTCTACACTCAAGCCATGCCCCCCGCTCCTTTGTGCTGTGGTTATTTTGGAGATGGTGGTCTCACTTTTAATTTTCCCAGGCTGGCCTGGACTGAAATCCTCCTATTTTAAGCTTCCTGCCCTTGCTGGGACAACAGGCACGTGCCAGCACCTCATCGGTTGAGATGGGGTCTCTGAGCTCCCTTCCGGGGCTGGCTTCCAACTGTGATCCTCCAGATCTCAGCCTCCCACGAAGCTAGGATTACAGGTGTGAGGCATAACCGTGAGTCCTAATTTTGAATATAATAAAGAAGACCTTCCTTCCACAGAGGGGAAACTGAGTAAAAGCAGACTTACTTCACATCAAATAATTGATATTTTATGGTGGTCCAGTGGACCTCGGGCCCTCTCTGAGGGCTTAGGTAGAGGAGAGTGACTTTGGGACAATTATCACTACTTTTTAACGTCTGCTTCCTTCTCTAGAAGGCAGGGTCCTGCCTGTCCTGTTGATCCTCATACCCACAACCTGGCATCTGGCGTGTGATGGGCACATTTAATAGACGGTCATTTAATCTCTTCTGAATGGATGAGTGGATGAACCCGAGTGAGAAGAAAACGTAGCCACAGCGTTTTCTACACAGGCCACACTGCTGCTGAAAGCAGAAGACACCTGCCTCTCTTCCACATGATGGTGGGTTTGGGGGCTCCTGACACCGCGCACGTCAGAACAGCAGTCATCCCATCGGTCACTGTGGTGTCTGTAGGACGCTGGGTGAACACTGGAGCGATATCTGCAGAGAGGAGGTCACAGTGAGTGGTCAGCACATGGTCCCCAAGAGACTCAGGCCACCTGGAGAGCACGTGGGCTTTGTGGACCAGCCACAGCTGGAGCCGTAAAACACGGAAAGCTTTCTGGGGTGACTACACCAGGGATTACCTACCTGTTTACAACCTGAAGAGAAACAGACGAGCGAGTGCAAAGCCTTAGCCGAATGCTAACAGGAAGCATTTACCTGGAAACGCCCAATAAACTGCCTTTGTTGTCCAAATAAAAGAAAAAGCTAATTTTTGAATATAAGACACCCTCCATCAGAAAACACTCTCATGCTTTCTAGAAGCTGTTCTGAAAGCTGAAATGAGGAGGTCTCTGGGTCCTCACAGAGGGCTGCCTTCCCCAGGTGCTGGGACCTACCCAGGTGCTTGTTCCTGAGGCCTGGGATGGTGAGAACCCCAGGAGGCCAGGCCCGCGCAGGCTGGCCCATGAGTACTCACTCCTCTGGTGCTGGTCCCACTGGCAGCCCCATTCCTGTGTAGGTTCTTGTGCCCAAATCTCGTGTGAGGCCCTCGGGGAGAAGTGGGAAGGAGCCCAGGCGACCAAAGCACAGTGGGTGCACTTTCTCAGCCTGGGGGTGACACTCACAAGCCTTGGGCGGTCCCCGGGTCTCACCCCCACAGCATATCTGGAAGCCCATAGTTTCTCCCCACCACAAGTGAGAGCTGCAAAGTCCTAGGTCTACCTGGATGACACAGTGCTTCTGCTCCTGCCTGAAGCTGCTCCCCAAAGCTGGGGTGACCTCACCCGACAGGGAGCTGGGCCTCTCTGCCCTCTGTCCACCCCCCCACCTGTCTTCCCAGACTCCACCCTCCAGCCTCCCTCACCTGCACACACCTTGGCTTCTTCTCTCCCCACCCCATGACAGATACAGCTCCAAGATTTTCAGCAAACAGCTCTTTCTTACCTTCGGGCCTCTGTGTGTCACCTGTCACCTCAGTGAGGTGCTCCCTCCCTGCCACTCAGTGCTTATCTGCTCTCCACAGCAGCCCCCCTCCCTATTCTCCTTTCTACCCTCCACCGCCATCCTGGGGTGCAGAAGTCTCACTGTCTTCCTTGTGGCTGTGCCCCCAAAGCCTAACCAGACCCTCAATAACTTTGCTGAATGAGTAAAGTGATTTTTCTTGTATTTTCCTTTTACCTTTTTTTGACCAAAAAAAAAAAAAAATCATTTTGCAAAACCCTATGGTGCAAAAACTATGGTCACAGTAGACAGCACAAAGGACATTTGATTAAAATGTCCAACTGGACCTCCCGAGAGCCCTGGTGACCAGGCTGGGATCCCTGTGAACAGAAGAGAACACCTGGGCCACCTCACCTTCCGGTTCTAGGCTGTCTCACATGAGGGGTTGACAAGGCACAAGCTGGAATCCAGCCCACGGCCCATGTTTATAAATGTTTTATTGGAACACAGCCTCTCTCCTCCATTCCCACTCTGTGTTATGACTTCCACAGCAGCAAGGCTGAGCAGATGTGACAGACACACAGCCCTCAAAGCCTAAAACACTTTACAGAAAAAAAAAAAATCCCTGGCCAGCCCGAGCCTCGGAGCATCCGGGTTTTAAATACTTCTGGTCAATCAGGACTCCGGGTGTGGTGTGAGCAATGAACTTCTATGGCTTCAAGCGATGCTGGTTTTCTAAGCTCCAGACTAGAGGGCAAACTCGACCCCTGAGCAACAGGCAAGAAAGGGACCCCAAGTTCCCAAAATGAGTGTTACGTGTTTAAGAAAGTCGGCTGGCCCTGCCCACACTCTGGCTGAGGAACGCCACCAGCCAAACAAAGGCCACCTCCTCCAGGGCCTCCCACACCCAAAGCATCAGCACTCCTCTTCTAAAAGGGCAAACGTGAAAGGTATAATTCCATAAATCCGACTTCACTTCAGAGGGAACAATAGGACGGCTGATGGAGATTAAACAGAAAACCCACAGACAACAAAGGGCGCCCTTACTTATTTTACTTTTCAAAGACAGTGCTGAGGTATTTCTGTTAATGGGATCACAAAAGAAACTCACAAAAGAACTACAATTGTTCAATAAAATTCAAGTAGAGAATGAATGTGAAAAATGAAATAGAAGATCAAAAGAAAAAGATTAGGTGTGAGCTGTTCACTTGATGATGTCTCCAGAAAGATGGAGGCTGTTTTCTAGTTCTCTTCTAGAAAGAGGATTTTTTTTAACAGCTCAGAGCTGCAAAGATGGGGGCTCACAGGAGAGTGGGGAGGTCACGGCGGGGATCTCGGTATCCATGGACTGCAGCAGAGTTTCCTAAGGGACCCAAGCAGGTTGGGGTGTGCCTGGGACAAGGCTGTCCCCAGCCATGGGGACACATGGTCCTGTGTGCTCCTTGGGACTGCAGGGATGCTACTGCTCTATGTGTGGGAAGCCAAGGCCCCGTCCTAGTGGACTGGCTTTGTCATGGCCGTACTCACTGGTCACGTCCAGGTAGGTGTCTGTCTGGATCTCCCCGCCTTCATTACTGGCAAAGCACTGGAAGATTCCAGAGTCTTCTGGATGCAGCTTCTGGATGCGCAGACCCCCGCTGGGGAGCACTCGGTACCGAGGGTTCTGGAGTTTGCCGATGGGGACGGCATCCTTGTACCACTGGAGGGTGGGAAGAGGGGCCCCTGGGAGGGAGTGGAGGTAAATGGGTATTTGAAAAATTAAATTCTGAGACTTGCTTACACAAGGAACATGGCAATACGTCCACGGGCAGTCTCTTCTCTGCCAGTCTGTGCAGCCACCCCGTAACGACTCAGCTTCTCTTATGTCGCACGAAGAAACCAAGACGGTGGGGCACTAAGAGGAAAGACAGGAGTGAATTCTGGGTGCCGGGGCTGGGAGCCTTCCAGGCTCTATGTGGGTTTGTCATCTTGCTTGGAAAGAAAGACATGCCAACTGGGACAGACCCCGAGACTCTGACTGAAATGAAGGCCAAGGTCCTGCGGGCAGGAGGCAGGACGCGCACCTGAGGCCCACCCCTCGCTGTGCCTCGCCCTGGGCACGGTACCTTTACCTACGTGTGTCTCTGCTCCCTCACGTGTGAGTGAAGGGACCGTAAGAGAGGCTTTGAAAGCTAAGATGATCACACACTCCCATCTAAGAGTGGCTGCCTAGCAAGTGTGAGGCCCTGAGTTCAAATCCAAGTAAAACTCTTGCCTGGATATCAGAAGTGCTAGTGGATTGTCACTGCTTCGGTACAACCAACCACACTAAAAGTGAGGCCACCTTTACGCACCCTCTGTCCAAGGAGTTGCCGTCACCGACGTTTGCAGGAGTCCACTGCCTGGAGTGGGGTTTATCAGGTTAGGTAACCAGGACAGGTGACATCCCAGCCACAGGGCGTGGAGACTTAAGGGACATCACACTGTGGACGTGGGAGGAGTTATCTTGTCTGTAAGACCCACACCAGCACAGTCAGGAGGCACAGACGGGCCGCAGGATGGCTTCATTCTTGGACCCAAGAGCCAAACCGGCCAAGACCACAGCGAAGAGTTGAATGAAGAGGACAGGAGGGTCAGACGGACCCATCACACAGCACCACCTCTAGTGGCCCTCCCATCACGGGGCACTACACACAGGAGCGGGGCCGGAGTCAAAGAGGCTGGGGCTCCCCACGCTTTCACTAGCCCTACCTGAAAGAGGGGGTGCTGGGTGAGGGAGGGGCGCCTAAAGCAGGTGTAAGACAGGCTGATGAGTGGCAGAACCTGGGTTGTGAATGGGAGGGACTGTCCTCAGCCTGAGAGAGGGAGGACCTTGGTGGCTTGTTCTCTACACAGCTGTGGTCGGTACACGTGAGCCAGGCACTGCTGAGTGAAGTTGTGGTGCTGCCTGAGGGGAGAACGCTAGGCCCCTTGTTCTGATAGCTTCTCCATGTGGCTTGGCTGACAAGGCCAGAGGTCATGGCCACTCAGGAATGGTGGCCTGGGTAGGTGAGAGGGACTCCACTCAGAATCAGACCAAGCCACGCAAGCTAATGAAGTCCAGAAATACTGCAGGGTGTGGGACAGTGAGAAAACACCTAGACTTGGTTCTGGAGCTCAGAGGGGCTGGTGGAGTGGCTCAAGTGGTAGAACATCTGCCTAGCAAGTGTGAGGCCCTGAGTTCAAACCCCAGTGCCACCAAAAAAAAAAGAAAAAGACAAATGAATCTCAGATGGTTTCCTTGTTTTCCCTAAATCTAGGTATATATTACATAATTACTACATAAAATGGTTTTGTTTGTTTTGAAACAGGATCTCCAGGTTGGCCTTGAACTCACCATCTTCCTGTCTCTGCCATCCAAGTGCTGGGATTACAGGTGTGCACCACCACACCTGACGTATCAAATGGATTGAAGTAAAAAGCACACGTTGCTGTGAGTCAGAGGAAGACCCACTCAAATCCCTTCATCCAAGATGCTACATGGGCAATGTAAGATGTCACTCTCATAAATAACCTTAATGTCATGCTATTTCAAGAGAACATGTCCTCAGATTCTGTTCTTTGCCTTCACTGTGTTTTCTGTCACCTCTCACTAAATCAGGAAATGCTAAAACAGCCATTTCAAGGTAAAAGCTTCCCCAACCCAGTACAATCTCACAATGGCAATTCCGTATTGTGGTTTTCACAGACAGTCCTCGCTGCACGTGCTGCTAGGGTGTTGCTGTCGAAATGAAAAGAAACAGTAAATTACATGACGGCGGTGCCATGTGGAAAGAAAGCCCTCGACCAAGAGACATTTACACTCCGAGGCTTGACCAGCAGTTTACCCTGTCGAGGTCACGCAAGAAAGTTTTCTCTTGTCAAAGGGACAGGTGAAGACTGTCACTGAGTGAAGAATGATGGTGAGTACATGGGGAACTAGGAGTATTTCCTTTGGGGGACAATTTAATGTCACAAACAGAAACCAAGCCCCCGCAGCAGTGTCCACTCTCCATTCGGAGATATAAATCAACAGTCTAAATATTTAAACTTCACGTTCCCAGAGCTGTCCTTAGAAGGTGTGTTCAGGGCCACAGGTGTGTGGTCATGCCTATAATCCCAGCTACTCAGGAGGCAGAGATGTGGAGAATCAGGGCTTAAGGCCAGCCTGGGCAAAAAGTTAGTGGGAGCCCATGTAAGCAATAAGAAGCCAGACGTGATGGTGTGCACCTGTCACCCCTGTGGCACAGGAAGCATAAATGGGAGAATTATGTTCCAGGCTGGCTTGGGTATTAACAGGAGACCCAATCTGAAAAATAGTTAAAGGAAAAAGAGCTGATGGTGTGGATCAAGTGGTAGAGCACCTGCCTAGAAAGTGTGAGGCCCCAAGTTCAAACCCCAGTGCCGCCAAAAACAATAAAAAAAGCGTTGGTGTTTTTGTGGGAGAGAGACAACACCACAGTAAGGAAAGTAAGTCCACTGGAAATTCACAATGCTTTTCTGCCCCTTCTGAGACAGTCAGAGCAGACACCAGAAACAGGGCAGCTCTGTAGACAGCCACCGTGACGAGAGCCCGGGAGTCAGGACCAGAGCTACAAAGGACCAGGTCCTATGGCAGGAGCAGTTGTGGCACTCAGCCTAAAGCCTGGGAAGGGACTCCTGGCCCTTTCTGGTCCTTCACAGCAACGCTGTCCTGAGCCACATACCAGGGACATCCAGAACTGAAGGGACACACGCAGTGCCCCCACAGGGGACCTGCCCTGAGCCCCAGGGCCTCGTTCTTCAGGGGAAGCCAGGGCCCTGGCAGCTGATGGTGGGGTTTGTCTCCATGACCAGGGACCCCAGTATTTAAAGAGCTATTTCTACATGGCAGGAACTGGCATGTTATAAGCGGTGTCTCGTTCTTCTTTGTGGCTGGAACATGTCACCTAACCTTGCTCTCTAGGCAAGGCCTTGTTTGTGTACAGTGACAGCAGTATCTGCCTTGCGAGCTGCTCTGAAGGTTTACAAACTGGGCAGCAGACCATACCCTCCAGCTCTGACAGGCAGAGGGAGAACCCACTCTTAAGAAACCAGGTCCAAACAATCAGGAGGATGGCCTTTCCAGGGACACAGGTTTTGGTCATGAGTTGCTATGAAGAGCCCGTCTCCGTGGGGAGCCTTGCAACTCCCTGTGCTGCCTGCCAGGAAATGGATACAACTGAGGCACAGGGAGAAAGGTGGATGACCTAAACAACAGAAGAAAGTGGGCCCAAAGCTAAAAGAGTAGGACAAGTTTCTATTCAAAACCTTCCCAACGGCGCCCCTTCCTCCAAGATGGACCCGACCTCAGTCCCCAGCGCCCCACGTGTGTGTAGGTCCTGGGGCTGGGCTCTGGGGAACCCCAGCATTTGAGGGGAGTCTACAGCGCACACTGTGTCCCCTGTGTTTGGATGCGGGAGATGGTTACTTCCCCTCTTCCTTCTTTTTTCCCTAGGGTAAATATTAGCACCCCAGTTTTACAGACAGGGAGGCAAGAGTGCAGCAAGGTCAAGCACTTCCCTAAGGTCACAGGCCTGGTTCCCGAGTCTTCCTGCACTTCACAGACTGTTGTCAACCTTTGTAACCACTGTCTCCCTGGATGGGACGCCGTCACTGTCACTCCCCCAGACCTCCCACACTCACCCATGGCCCGACAGGGGATGTCCACAGTTTCTTCTACTTCACCTAAGATCCGACTCTCGGGCTCGGCTGTAAAATATGGTGGCTCTTTAAAACAAGAAAAAAAATAGCCTGTAAGTAAAAGAAGGATATGTCAAAGACCACGCAGCCTAAGATAATTTCAGTTCTAAAAACTGACCCTCACACCCACTGAGGCCTCAGCAAGGGGCAGGTGCGGACATCATATAGTCTCAGACTTCAGAAAACAGATCACTGCTCGGGGCCACGGCTACTTCACAGTTTATGGGCTTGAGCCGTGCAATATCTTAACCCACATTTAGGAGGACCATCCCAAGAGATTCACAGAGGTTTATATTTAGGGCGCAGTATTTCATAGGCTGGGTCGCTTCGGTATTTAAACCAAACACCAGCGTGTCAAAGGCAGCAGGAAGCAACCCAGCCTGTTACCATACTTTTTATAATCTTCGCAGTGCTCCAAAACATAGATTGAACACTTCAATGGAATGAAAAAAGTAATAGCTAAGAGAAAAAAGGGGGGAACACTGTCATCTATTTTTAGCAGCAAAGGAAACGCCCAGCCTCTAGTCACCCTTCTCCCCTGTGCAACAAAAAATAGCGGTTAATTTAAGCAATGAGTTTCCTCGGAGAGTAAATTGCAGTATCTTCTGTTTATTCAGCAAGAATTCTGCAGAGGCGGGGTGGCGTTGGAGAGTAAGGTGGTAGGCTTTTTCATGATCGTGGTCACACAGGCTCTTGCAGCCACTTTGTGCCAGTAATTAATTTCCAGGGACTGACTTCCAGGGTGGTTTATTTCCATCAGGATTGTGTCACACGTGGACAGGATGGCATGGTGTGCCTCTTGTGCCGATCATATCTTTAAAATAATATGGACCTCTGAAAGAGGATGCAGGGAAACGAAAACGTAGCATGTCAAGGAAATGACCGAGGAGAAGAGGCTGAAGGGCTCTGAACGACGGGAAAGTTAGGTGTCGATTCTGGAATTTCCTGGACCACTTGAGAAGACACCATGTCCCTGAGTTAGCCACCCCACTAGGGGCCAGGCTGTGAGCTCACTAAGCAGTGGCCTGTGTCTCCCGTCATGACCTGATGACAGATGAGACGTGGGGAGGGGGAATTAAGTATCTCTTTAGGATTAATCACTGATTTCCTTAGGCTAAGGTTTAAGTCTTGGACAACAGTGGAGTCCAGTACCATTGTAGGGAACAATACAGAGGGAGCCCCCATGCCTCCTTCCCTCAGTTTCCCCCTGTGGTAACGTCTGGCAGAACTCCAGTGCAATGTCAGGACCCAGCCACGGATGTGATCGGCCTTTCTGATCCATCTCAGCCAGCTTTGCTCATGATTTAGTTCCGTGCACCATAACCACACATGTCCACACCGCATGAGACACAGAACGGGCCCATCCTCACAAGGGGACGGTGGCCTGCCATGCTGGTCCCAGGAAGGCTGGCGGAGCGTGGCGGAGCGGGCTGTCACGCCCCACTTGCCCCTTGGTCCTGGGGAGGCCAAGCCTGCAGAGTGGGCCTGGAGCTGTAGCTTGTGCTCTTCATGCTGGTACTGGCCCCACAGCACGTAGGCCAGGACAGTTGCCACTGGCCCTTCACACTGACCCAACCTGGCAGACGCCTGAAGGTTCCCCTCCCGTCCCAGGAGGAGAGAGTGGGTGAAACACCCAGCGTTCGGCCATGGAGGCTTGGAGCAGGCTGTGGGCACGAGTCCTGGTCGGCCCAGGGCTCTTCAGCCACTCACTCGTCAAACGGCACGGGGGTGGGGGGGGAACGTGGCTCAGTGGCTCAGCGGCACCACAAACACTTTTCTAGAATGTGTGCTGCCAACAGAGCCCCGCACCGGGGTGTTGAACATTCATGTCAGCCGTGGCCAGTGAAGATGGAGACTGAGACGGAATCCTCTCGCCTTTGGAACAGGATGAAGAGGTCAGGAGAAGGTTCCCATGCCTTGTGTTAAATCAGCACGGGCCACCCGCCCTGCAGGATGGGCACAAGTCGTTAGCCCCACGGTCTCAGAACCTGAGCTGGGGTCCCTCCCACTCTCCAGCACGTCAGGGTGACAGTGCGGGTTGTGGCCGACGGAGGCAGCCTTGCTGGAGGAGGCGGCACACCAAGGATTTGTCATGCTTTTCTTCCCTGGTGCTGGGGGTGGCTTCTGTCTTTCCTTCCCTCCAGAGCACCAGCAAGTACAGAGCTGTGTCCTTGGCAGTGGTCGCTGTCCACACTTGGGTGCCTTGTCCACTGAGGTGAGCAGGGTGGTCCCCAACGATGTCCACAGGTGAGTCCTTGGAGCCTGTGAGGATGCTCTGTATTTTACAAGAGGGCTTTGCAGATGGCGTTCAAGTTGTGACCCTTAAACAGGGGCACTGGGAGACTGTCCCAGATGAGCTGGCTGGACCCAGGTTAGTCACAGGGGCCCCCAAAAGTGGACAATTTCTCCACCTGGAAATAGGAGAGGCAGAAGGAAGGGCAGGGAGATGGTGAGTGGGAAGGGAGCCGTGCATTTGGGGGGTGAAGGGCGACCTGACGGGAGCTGAGGCAAGTGACACCGAGGCAGCCCCGCTGTGGGCGTCAGGTGCTTGCTTCTCCCGGCTTGGCACCCGACGCTACTGCCAGAGCACAGGATGTGCACATGGGGTGGACCTGAGGAGGACCCGCGGCGCCCGGCAGAGGTGATCCAGATGCTGCAGGACACCGCCAGCGGTGACGGCTGTGAGTCCTGCCCTGAGGCAGGGAGGCAGGAGCTGGCTGGGCTGTCTCAGTGGGTCAGGAGCAGAGTGGCCACAGGCAGGGTGGCAGGTTGTGCACGGTCCCCGCTGTGGCTGCAGGGCAGGTCAGGGGAGAGGAGCCTGTCCAGGAAACAGCAGCATGGCTGAGCTATGGGTGGTGAGGTGGGGGACGGGGACCGTGACTCCAGCTGCCTGGATCAGAGCTCTGGGCTCCGGTTTGAATCTCAGAAATTGAGCAGCTCGGCAGGGAGGTGACAGGTGGAGTAAACAACGCAGCCAGCCTGTGTCGTCTCATCACTGAGAAAGAGAAGTAATTGGGAAACAGTGTGCTTCTGCTTTCTTTCATCTGCATGTTCAGATCCACAGCTTCCCATCTTCAGCTGTGACGGCCCCGTGAGCCCGGCCACGGCGCGGCCGGGTGTGGGCGAGGGCGACAAACTCAGTCAAGTCCTCTGCTCTGTGTGTCAGCAGAGATTCTCTCCTCTCCCTCTCTGTCTCTTTCTCTTTCTCTCTCTCTCTCTCTCTCTCTCTCTCCAGGGCTTTTCCAGAGGGATGGACCACATAATCCCACCTTCTCACAGGAGGCTCTCAACAAAAAGGGATTTCTTTTTCATTTGTTTTTGTGTGACTGGGACTTTGAACTCAGGACCTTGTACTTGTGAACAACTTCTCTGCCACCTCAGTGCCACTCCCAGCCTCTTTGATTTTAGTTTCTTTTTCAGATAAGGTCTCCTGCTTTTGCATGGGGCCACAATCCTTCTGCCTTTGCCTCCTGCATAGCTGGGATTACAGGCATGCACCACCACGCCTGCCTTCACAAAAGGGGATTCAAATCAGCATGAAGACGTTAACTGTGTTTGTGTACCTTCAGCTGTCAGAATGCAGAGACACAAAACCGATGTGCTCTGGTGTTCTGATGTAAATGCAAGACAAAATAAATAGGACAGATTTAAATACTTTAAAATGGAATTCTGACAGAAAAGAACATTCTAGTTTACAGGGAGATAAACTCCCTCTCTTGTTTAAATTACCTTAAAATGTGTTAACACAATACAGTCCTGTCGACTAGAAATTTACACACCACGTACTCTCATTTTGGTTCCATCGATAATGCACTGCGTTCACATAGCCATACATCAACCTGGATGAGAGTGTGCAGAGGATGGGGTGAGGTGTTCACGCCACAGCAAGCGTGAGACCAGTCGGGAGGCGGTGGAGGGAGGAGAGCTGGGGTCCCTGGGGTGGGATCAGCAGTGATTTGCAGGCCTGAGCTGCTGCTGTGACACCTCCGCCATCCCGACACCACGTCCAGACAGGCTTGGCGGCCTTGTGCTGTGTACCTGTCAGTCACGCTGGGGGCACAAAGCCACTGCCGGTGTCTACAGGAATGACAGTGCTCAAGGCTCTGGCTTTGCACACAGTGGCCGGGATCCTCTTGCTGGTTGCACACGACTCTACAAGCTTTTATTCTTTCTTCCTTATTTTACACGGTGGCAAACCGCACGAGGTACTACAGAAAAGCTCCTGCTCGCCAAAGGTTTCCTCGTGTTCGATCTGTCCCCATCTTAGGTCCCCTTGGTCCCCAACAGCAGACAGAGCAGATGCTCTTTGCTGGAGCCAACCTCAGAGGCCTGTCTTAGCAGCAGTGAAGGGAAAGGAACACTGAAGAACAAATGTGCAACTATGCCAGGAACACAAAAGGAAAGAGGGGACTTCCCGGTGATATAAAGGGATCGTATCAGGAGCTGGTGACAAATTTACAATGCCCTCAGCTGCTGTGCAAGGCCAGTGTCCTAACCACGCTGCTGCCAGTACTTAGAGCCAGGCAATTCAGGTGCACTTAACTTTATCTTCCCGGGCTCTGGGTTAAGACGTGGTCCAATTTTAGGAACACCTGCTCTTGTCATTCAACTGAACCAAAGAGAACATCCAGCTTCCTGTGGGGTCAAAACCCCACAGAGATAAAATGAGGTCTGCACATGGACCCAGTGGCCCCAGGAGTGAGGGGAGAGGGCCAGAGGAGGCTGGCGACTTCCACAGTGAGGACCTCACCCTCCACTCTTGGCTTTGTGACAGTGTGGGTTCAGAAGAATGGTTCCTGAAGGTACTGGGAACAGCCACACTTTGGATTTCATGGGTTTATAATCTTTAAAAGGAAGAGTTGGGCCAGGGGCTGGTGGCTCATGTCTGTAATCTCAGTTACTCAGGAGGCAGAGATCAGGAAGATTGCGGTTCAAAGCCAGACCAGGCAAATAGTTCATGAGACCCCATCTCGAAAATACCCATCACACACACACACACAAAAAGGGCTGGTGGAGGGCTTAAGGCAAAGCCCTGAGTTCAAGCCCCAGTACTGCAAAATAAAAAAAGGAAGAGTTGGCTGGGTGCAGTGGCTCAAGCCTGTGGTCCTAGTAACTCAGGAGGTGAGGCCAGCTGGGGCAGCAAGTTCGAGAGACCCCATCTCAACCAATGGCTGGGTGTGGCAGCACACACCTGTCATCCTAGGTATGCAGGGAAGCACAAAATAGGAGGATGACTGTCCAAGCCAACCTGGGCACAAAGTGAGACCTCCATCTCAAAAAAAAAAAAAAATCATGGAACAAAAAGGGCTGGGGGTATGGCCCAAGTGGTAGGGCACCTGTCTGGCAAGCACGAAGCCCTGAGTTCAAACCCTAGGACTGCCCCCAAAATAAATAAATAAATAAAAAGAAGGATGGGGGGCATTTGGGAGGTAAACTGAACCTCCCCTCCATTTGGGGGGTTAAAGATAAAGTTGTGGACTGGGGGTGCAGCTCACTGGTAAGGCGCGTGTACCAACACCTGAATTCCATCCCCGGCACCGCAAGATAAAAGCAGAACGGGAACAAAGGCAGGGAGCTACGGGCCGCTGCTTGGCCGGCCCGGGGTGGCCGGAGGCTGACCTACGACGGACAGGAAGGCCTGGGCTCTGGCGGGCTGGAAGGCGCTGCCCCGCAGCGTGGCCTCGCACACGTACAGCCCGGTGTCCGCCGAGGTGGGGGTGCTGATGGTCAGGCGCCTGCCGAAGCTGTGCAGCCCGCTGGCGAGGCGCACCCCGTTTCTCCTCCAGTGCACGCGCAGCTCCTCCACGGGCCTGCGTGCGAGAGCAAGGACACTGTGACCGTGGCTGTGAATCACGTCGGTGGCCACCACCACCACTCACCAGGCACCCAGCACGAGCGCCACAGAGCTAATCCACCAGGAGCCCTGGCGGCTGGAACGAGGGACAGGGAGGGATCAACCCAAGCCCACCATGCTTCTGCCCCAGGGCTACCGAGCAAGGACAGCCAATTGCCAGGACAAGGGACCAGAAGTGCTAATGGTTCCATTCCATCCGGAAAGAATGTGGCAAAGAAACACTGCTGGGGACACAGCAGCTGCGTGGGAGGTGCGACCCCCCCAACTCACGCCTGGGGTGGCCCTGAACGGGCAGAGAACACCGGCCCTACGGAGGGCAGTGGGATTGACATCCCTTTGCTCCCCAGGGACCTCGCTCCTTGATCCTCCCTGCCTAGTGAGGCAGAGGAGGCTCCGCCATCAGCCTTACCTAACCTGAGAAACCTTCCCACTGCAGAAGACACCGTCCTGTGTCCCCCGTGTTCCCCGATGTGCCCTGCAGAGCCCCGATGGACAGGTGAGCCCACTGATGCTGGGAGGGCAGAGCTCACCGTTCCTCTTTCCACCACGGTGACATCTCAGACAGGACGTATTAGTCCCTTACACAAAGCGCCAGGGACCAAAAGTGCTTTGTGTTTTAAATCATTTTTTATTTGGAGATATTTGTATGTCTGTGACATACCTTGGGGGAGGGAGCCAAGCCTAAACACGAAACTCGTTTATGCCTGTCTGTACCTCACACACCTAGCCTGAATGAATTCCTTACATGTCGCGTGCCCTATCACAGGTGGTCAGGGGCAGATTTCCACCTGGGTGTCATGGCCGCGTGTGAAAGTTTCGGGGTTTGCAGCATTTTGGGTTTCAGGTTTCCAGGTGAAAGGACGCCCTCCCGCCCTCTGTTCCCACGCCCAGGGTGCCCCGTACCTGGCACTGGCTATGCATTCCAGTGTGGCCTCACTGGACCCCGCCACCACACTCCTGTTGCCCGGGGCAACCACAATGACAGGGGCCATGGCTTCAGGTGTGCCAGTGTCTCCTGTGGCAGAGAAAACAGAAACTTCCATGGAGCCATTGTCACAGAATAGGAGATGAGGGGGACAGGAGTGGTGAAGGGTCTTGTCAACCGAGAATCTCATGACCTAGTGGAACCCCGAGAGGAGCCAGGGCTGTGGTCATCGCTGCTGGCCTCTGTCAACCGGGATCTGGCACAGTCAGTCCCATCTACTCCCAGCCAGTGACCAGGACGCACGGCACCCGAGGGCCTCACACCTCCGCTCGTGCGCAGGCTGCTCGAGCAGGCTTTCGGCTGCTCGGTGTTGTCCAAAATGCTTGCTGGCTTTGTTTTACTTTATCTTTTCACCGATTTAAGACTGCTTACCCACTATTTCACATTCGGTCAACTGCACAAACGCATCGTGTGCCAGGCACCGCGCTAGGGACGAGGGTACCAGAGAGGGGACCACCGTGACACTCCCTGCAGCTAACAAAGAGTTCTGTCTCTTCTCCCAGTTTCAGTTTTTTTTTTCTTTTCTGGGAAGTAAATACCCTGAGTCCATCCTGGTTTTGTGAGGATCAAACTATAAATAATTTAATTCCTGCTGCTTTGCTATAGGGTACAGGTAGCATCAGAATTAAAGCCCTCACAGTGCGCTTCACTGCTGTTTGTTTAGGGGCAATGACTAAACAATGCACTTTAAATGAGGACCGAGCCACATCTGTGGAGCAGGGACGGATGTGTAAGAACCTGGAATAAAAGCATACTGAAGTGACTGCAAATAATGCCTTCTCCCGTTCTTCACGTTGAAGAGCTGTCAGGAGCAGCCCGGGAGAACTCTGGCCCGGGGAAGGTTCTGGCCTGCGCCTGGTGGTGGGCGCACAGTCTTTGAAAGGGAAGGACGGGGAGGAGAGGACTGGCCTCTGACCAACTCAGAGTTCCCACGGCTCCGTGTCTGGCGTTCACTGCCTAGGCAGGATTGAGTTTTATGTTAAAAGTGTATGTGAAACCTGGTGTTGGTGGCATGCACCTGCAATCCCAGCTATTTGGGAGGCTGAGATCAGGAGGCTCTCGCTTTGAGGCCAGTCCAGGCAAAAAGTTCAAGAGACCCCATCTCAACCAATAGCTGGGTGTGATGGTGCATGCATGCCATCCCAGCCACTGCAGGAAGCATAAAATATGAGGATTGTGGCCAAGACACAAAGCAAGACCCTGTCTCTAAAATGACCAGGGTAGAAAGGGCAGCTTGCGTGTGTCTGCGTGTGGCTCAAGTGGTAGAGCCCCTGCCTAGCAAGCTCAAAGTGCCAAGTTCAAACCCTGCTACCGCTAATTAAAAAAAAAAAAAAAGAAAGAAAGTGAATGTAAATTTTTAAAAGAAACAAAGCATAAAGCTTGGTAGAGGCAGAACCAGTGAATCAATTCTCTTAAACACTGACTTCATGATGGAGGCTGACTCTTACAGACCCAGGGCAGCTAGAGGCAGCCCCGGCCTTCCCCAAGCCCGGGACCCCAAACTCCCTCCTGGGCTCCCCTGGGAACCTGGCTGTAGATGCTTCTCCCTTAGACACTCACGGGGTTGCAGGCTGGGAGTCAGACTTTCAGAGATGGCAGACACGCACACGTTGCACGATAGCCAGCCAGGACGCAAACCACACACCAGTCTGAGGACCAACTTGCCAGTCACCTGTGAGAGTCACTGGCGAGAAGAATGGGCCCCAGGAGTTAAGATGTGCAAACAGTTATGAAAAGTGAATGGAACGGAAGTTGAGAGGTCACCATGCAGCCTTGGGGGAAGCCCGAGGTGGCCCCTGGGGAGGACAGGCCAGGGCCATTCACTGAGTCCTCTCCACCCAGGACACTCCAAGAGACTGCTTGCTGGACAGGTAACCCAGAGCTGCATTCCCAGCCCCCTGGGGACAGGCGTAGCAGAGGTGGCAGTCCAGCCGAGGATTCAGTTTGGGTTCTCGGGGAACCAGACGTTCACTGACAGCATCCTTTGCACACACACACCACTATTCCAGGGTCCCCTCACCTGACAGGGCACAGCGCAAGCTGAGTGACTTACTGCTCCAGTCAGGGCCTGACAAAGCAGCTCCCAGCTCTTGCTAATGACGCCCGAGCCACACAGGACGCCGGTGGGAGAGGTGAAAGGTCAAAAAGATGGATCTTGAATGCGAGGGAGCCTAAAAGGAGCAAATGCCATAAACACCCAGGGTCGCCAGTGAGGTGCATTTGACCTACAGAAGCCACAACAGCCAAAAAAACAAGCGTGTCTGCTGCTGGCCCCATGCAGGGGACACTGCAATAACACTGTGTGTCACACACGATATATATGTCTGTACCAGTTAAAATCCCAGGAAAGTCAGAAGTGTGTGTAAGACGTGACACCGTCTTGACAGCGGTGGCACTGGGTGGCAATCCGCACACTCTCTCGGATGAGTTAGTAACTCGATTACCATCTGTAGTCAGGGAAGAACAGTGAGGATGACCAGGGTGTGGAGTGTGAGTGTCACTAGCCTCGATGACAAAGTAGAGCTGCAGAGGATGACGGGAGCTGAGGAGGGCGGAGGGAGGGATGGGAAGGTGGACAGAGGTCACTGTTCCCCCGGACCCCAGAAATAGAGGGGTGAACTGTGCCTTTGCAACTTTAAAATAGTTCCCTGCATTTCTCTCCCACGTGGAGATACATGCCTTTGTGTGTCTGCATGCCTTAAAGTTACAACGCAACAAAAGAACTGAAGCTAAGAGTTTTGTTTTGTCTTGGCTTTTTTTTTTTTTTTTTTTTGGTGGCACTGGGGTTTGAACTCAGGGCTTTGTGCTTGCGAGGCAGGTGCTCTACACGTGCACATCTCCAGTCCTTTCATGGCTATTTTAGAGATGGGGTCTCACTTTCTGCCCATGCTGGCCTGCACGCTATCCTTCTATTTATGCTTCCCATAGTAGCTGGGATTACAGATCTTCACCTTGCCCAGATATTGGTTGAGATGGGGTCTCACCAACACTTTTGCCCTTGCTTCCTGGAGCTGTGATCCTCCCAATCTCAGCCTCCCAAGTCACCAGGATTACAGGCATGCATCACTAGTACCTGGCCACTATCAGTTTTTTAGAAGATGCACAGAAGAGAATATGTAGGCATTTTTAAAAGAACAAAACAACCTCCTTATTTCTGACACTCCCAGTGTCCGTCCCACAGACAGTCAACAAACACTCGATGATTCATTAGTTTGTTACAAATAGTCTGTGCTTGTAAGCCAGCACTACCGCCACCCCCACCAGCCCCAATTCTCAACATCCTATGCTAACAAACAGTTGTTTAAAATGACATGAAGAATTGTTTCCCAGAAGACTAAAAATCCAAAGGGAAGGGAAAGAAGTAGCTCCCGCTGAGCCACCAAACCTTTTGCTAAGTTATTTGCAAATGTCACTCAATTTAAGGACAAGCCAGTAAGATAGCTGTTAGTGCTTCTTACAGATGAGAAAATGGAGCCCGAAATCACATGGCTGCAGTGGTAGAAAAGGGCCTCATACCAAGACATGTCTTCATCTTTGGTCTTTCTTTTACAGCTCCGAATTAAGTCCGTGGTGCCTGGTTAATTAAGAGGGATTTACGTAGACCTCCTCCTCGCCCAAGTGTTTTGCACAAGTTTCTGCCCTGATCCTGCCCAGGTTGGTCCGGGCACTGGAGGCAAAGAGGCCGAATGCAGAAGCCTGTGCCAGAGGCCAGCACGGGCGGGACAGGCGGCTTCAGAGCCGGCGAGAGGCAAACTGCAGAAGAAGGCTTTGTGTTGGAGGAGGACAGACCTTGCAGCAGGGTACGGGTCTAATCACAGCCAGGTTCACCCACGTGAGCCTCTCTGCTCCCCAAGAGACTGAGCAGGGAGCGGCTGTCCAGGTTGAGTTTAATTAAAAATGACATTTAAAGACCAGTGTGCCTCTTGAGTAGAAGGAAAGGAAAATTCAAGGGAAACTGGTCTGCTAAGCTGTGGATTACTGAGACTCAGTTGGGAAGTGGAAAGCACTGTGGTCACTGCAGGCAGGCCCAGTGCTGGGGACTGAGCCCGTATGGCCCAGAGCAAGTGCTGGAGGCTCCGTGCTAGGGACGGGAACGGTGGTGGTGATGGAGCGGGAGCTTCAAGGATGTGAAGAAGGAAAACTAGCCATGAGGTCTTCTGACAGAGAAAACAGAAGCCCAAGAGCCTTGTGCAAGGACACGCCTGGCCTGAGGGCCCAGCTGGAGGCCAGTGAGGCTGGAACAGAGAGCAGGAGGCCAGGGGAGCCTGACCAGGGCAGAACCTCGCATGCCTCACACAGGAGCAGGGGAAGGTTTGGGGAGGAGTGGTGTGATCCCATCTGGATCACAGTTCAAGACCAGCCTGGGCAAACAGTTCAGGAGACCCCCATCTCTGATCCTCGCCTCTCTCACGTAGCTAGGATTACAGACGTAAGCCACTGGTGCCTGACTAGATTTCAGACACTGTCAAAAGCAGCATCACAGCACTGGCTAACAGACTGGCCATGGGGACAGTAAAACTGGAGGTGGAAAAGGAAGCTGCCATTTCTGTGGTGGGAAGATCTGTGGACAGAAGAGAGGTCGAGGTCATATGTGGGATGCCCTTTAACCACAGGGTAGCTGCACCTCTAGTCCCCCTCACGAGGCCTTTCTCCTCTCTACTCTCTTATCTTGCCTACCCCACGGCCCCTTAAGGGCGCTGCTGCTTCCCGTGGGCTCCTGAGTTTGGGGTTTGTCCCTTGAATCATCTCTGGAGGGTGCTCCTTGGTCAGGGGCACACACAGACCACTCCAAACTCCATCCAGCCTACCCTGCATGACGCCCAGAGGTCCCCATGGCTGGGAACCAAAGTGGCACCTGCCTTATCTTTCCCGTGGGGCCAGCCATCCCCAGGGCTACACACCAGACCCCGAGTGCATGCACTGTGTCCCTTTTCCTGGTCTTCTCTGGCCCGAGCTCCGAGCTCCACACGTCCCCTGCGTGGAGGCTGGGACTGGGCCTGCCTTGGCCTCACACCCTCCAGGCTACAGCTCACCTTGTCCCATCCACGCCCCACTGCTGACCTACAGCTGTCATCGTCCCAAGCTCCCACTGTCTACTTGAACTCCTGTGAGGAGTCTGTCC